TGCTCGGATTTTTTAAGAACGAACTGAAAGTTTCGGTTTTTTTTTGGAAATCATCCCGCCCAAACCTCCAGAAAAATTGCGATCCAAAATTGCTTCTTGAAAATTAGTAGGGTTGATTGGCCGAAAATGAATGTCTTAAAATATACCAAAAGAGGAACCCTATGTATCATAGTGTTTGGGATTTCCTAAAATCAAATAGGTCAAACTAGGTAAAAAAATCATATTTAAAAAAAGTCAGGAGCTCGGACTTTTCTTAGAACGAACTAAAAGTTTCGATTTTTTTTGATATCACCCCACCCAACCCATCAAAACAATTGCGATCCAACCCTTTTGTAAATCAAATTGTGAACTGAATGAATAATTTGAATGAATGAATATTTTTTTGCCTGAATTTTTTTAATATCTCTTTTCCAATTGCTCGGAAAAAAAACAATTATCAAGGCACTAACTGGATCTTCAGACAGTATCTGAAAACTGCTGATTTATCTTTTCAAATCTTTAAAATAAATTAAAAACAAGGATAGCCGGTTACTGTGCAAGTAGCACATAATGTTCTTATAAAAATACAACAAAAAAGTTTTTTCAAAGTAGTTTCGTTTTTTTGGTGTGGTGTGATAAAAAAGGCTGAACGAAAAACTAGAGCTATAAAACATTCGAAGGTAATAGTTAAAAAAAGCGAATTGAAAAACAATTTTTGCAGAAAAATGACTAGCCAAACCAAAAAAACTCAAAAAAAATTCAAACGTTTTTTTTTCAAAGTTTTGCAGTTTTTGATTCCAAGACGGCGCTAAAACGCTCAAAAAAACTAACGTTACTCTAGAAAAACTAAGTTTTTATATTTTAACTAAAGCGATTGTAAACTTTTAGGCCATTAAAATGATCTATTGTAAGCCTGCGCGCTCGTTAAACTCACTCGAATCAAGACGAAAAACCAAAAATTTTAACCGGCTTTTCTCAACGCAGGAAAAAAAATTTGAAATTTTTTAATGTTGATCGAAGCACGACTGTCAAGGGCTATAATATGATTTATTATCACTCAATTCTCTTATAATTATTTGTGGTAGCTGATTTTGCGTGAAAAAAAACCTATAACACACCCAAATACATTATTCCTCCCCATTTTTCAAAAATGGTCGGAAGAAATACTTTAATCATTATTATATAAACGTTGCGTTAGATGGAAAAATAGTTTAAAAAATGATAGAAATGCGCAGATCTTTTCGCATTCATTCTTGAGTAAATTGAAACTGAGACTTATTGAGAGATGACTTTACGACTTTTCAACAATAACTTTTTAAATTGGCATAGATCTGACATCTTTTAATATCAAAACATTGGTAAATAACTAGTTTCTCGTAATGTGATTAAGCCTTGAAACAAATAACTCTGAACCGTGAGATTGGTGATAGAACCTCTGCCCCGCACCCTGACAATGACGGTTCGAATCCTGAACAAGCGTGAAAAAGTAACAGAAATTACGCAAATTTAGCCCAAATTCGACTCAACCGTTCGCGTAATGGGGGCAAAGGTAGTTACCAATCTAAAAAGCATGCCATAATTTTTGGCCTACTTTTCAGGCTTTTGTGCAGCATCCGATTGCCTTGTTTTTCTTTGAAGCGAAATAGAACAGAAATCAAATAATTCAGACCAGAAGCAAAATCCGATTTTAGTACAACAAAACAGCTTTTTAATTCTCGGTCAGTTGATAAATCCCCTGAGAACGCCTCGCATCCTAAAGACTACAAGCAACAACCTTCAAATTGATTGGCTGTTGTCTTCAAAGGCTTTTGTCTTGACAATCAACTAACTAAAAAAACGGCTCTAGCCTAGCACAAATGATCGGTCGCTAAGAAGTTTTAATTTGTCTTTTCTGGCCTTGATTAATATTAGGGTTCATTGTGCGCCTAATCTCCGTAAATCTCCTTCTTGTGGAGTCAGAAGCATAAATTTGAAGGCACGCATCATTTTTTGTCCTTTTTTGAAAGATGACAATCGATTTTAAGTTACTCCATTTTCAGCTCGATTTTCGAAGTGACTGTTTTACTAGTAATACTTAGGGCTACAAACCAACTGAAAGAGTCGTAAATAATCATCTTATAGGTTTTTACTGGCGTAATAAACAGATCGATAAAAATAAAATGAGAGCGCATTTCCTCCGGTGATGTGCCATTGCGTATATAACGTTGCGTATTTATTTTTTCGGGGTACCATTACATTTAATCGCTAAGAGTGCAATCACGTATATTTGCAACAGATCAAAGGCGGATTTGGGAGAAGAGATGGGGCCCCATTTTGATACAATTACAGTTTTACGACTCTCCTTATTCCCTTTTCTCACTGAATCAACCAAAATGTCTGAGCTGAAAAATTCGACTGTTTGAGTTAAGAGCGCGCCAAGAGCTTACATGAAAACACCAACGCGGTATTTTTGGCTTCTTCTGTCAAATTGTACCATAGAGTTTATGTGCAATCTAGTTTTTCAAGGAGAGAAGTCAGAAACGGAATTAACTAACAGATTTCGGTAGCTGGATTTTCAATTTTGACGATTTTAAGACAAAACATAACGGAAAGATCTCAAAAACAAGATTTTCAATTTGTCGACAAAACCTTTGATTTTTTTAGAAAAAACTTTAAGGGTAAACAATCCTTAAAGAACCAATTCTAATCGTATCAAGGCCTCGAATGTTCTGAGTGCCATCTAACTTCGATCAAAAGCTGTTTTGTTAAGAAAAAATAGTTTGAAATGTTTTAGTTTTAAAATCTTGTGGTAGAAATTGTATGTTTTTGAAAAATTTCGCTATGTTAAGTATGTTGTTAGCATCTACTAGCGTATTAAAAAGGACAAAAAACTTGTCTCATTCCATTTGCAATAACTTAAAGTGCCGCTAATGCTGTAATATGGCGAAATAATTAATACGAAAAATAAAAAGTCGAAATTGGTCTGAAGAAAAAAAACAAAACCCGAGCCGAAAAAAAAGAATAGCCGACTGCTGTGCAAAGAATAGTCGACTGCTGTGCCAACCAAAATGCTGCTCTCATCACGTTGGTTTCAAAAATTGATTTTAAGTAATAGTTTTGTGCCCCATCAAAGATATCAACTTTCTGAATTATTTAAAAAAAACACTGCCTCCAATTTTTTTTGGAAAGTTTCGAGGGTTTCGAAAATTGCCATTTTGCTATGCTCTGGACTAGTTGATGCACGCGCCCTGTGAAGATTTTTTAATGATGCTGAAAGCGTATCGCCAATTATTTATGCGAAGCGAGTTATCCCGCGCTGCAAACTGAATTCAGGTCAGTTAACTGGTCAAATTAATTTTTCGCTTTTGTTGGTTGATATTGTCCGAAACTTAAATTTTTTCGATTTTTTTCCCGAAGAAAAACTATTCGACACCAATTAAGGGGCAGTCAGAACATTACTTATTTTTTCTTCTCAATTTTTTAATTCAGCAGCCAGAAGCCTAATTTAGTGACAATTACGCTATTAATCTGTGCCCTAAATTATCTAAAATTTCAGACTATTTCTATGGACGAAAAAAAATGTTCAGCATCAACTGTATACTGTACCATAAAAAATCTATAATTATGGCAAGGAGAAATTCATTTAAAAAATGTCCTAGTCTGGAGATTTGAGGCTGATAAATGAGTTAGGAATATGCAACTGTAAACTGAGATTGAGACGAGAGAACAGAAAAAAAATCAGATCAAGCATTAAAAGGATCTCATTAACAATTTCCCTTCTTTGGTATCTAGTAACGAACTGCTACCTCTAAAAAGAACTAATTCAACGATTAAGCATATATGAATTTTGAATATAGTAACGATTAAAGAAAAAAATATTCAGAGTTAAGAAAATTTCTATTTGGTTTCAATTGAAGCAGCAAGTAAGCCAGCAACATTAGGTTAAATCACGTCAGACAGGGTGGATTTTGTTCATATCGTTATTTTGATTGATTACAGAAGCAATTAATGAAGTTTTCACGGTTTTCGTTGCTAGGCAATAAAATTTTACAGCTCTATCTTTTCTTCGTAAAACTGTTTCGAAAACTTTCACGACTCTTGAAAATTCCAAATTTTTTCGACACACTTGTAGTTTGTTATCCTGTGATGAGCCTCGCGTTGGTTTAGGGGTGAATGGCACGGAGAAGGGTCTGATCTAGACATTGAATTCAATAACCCGATTTAAAAAACTAAATGAAGGCTTTTTGACGGTAAACGAATAATTGTTTCACAACTTGCTCGCCCTTAAATCAAACGAAAACAAAACTAAATGCTGTGCGAAATTGTTGTTCAAAATTTGGCGGAAAAATTTCAACTTGGGTGCTTTGCTGTTGCTACTGTTTTTTGTTCCGACTTTCGATACGAAAGTAACGGAATATTTGTGCTCGGGGTGGGTCTTTTTTTTCTTCAGACAAATTTTGACTTTTTAACTAGCCATTTTTGACGGAATTTTTTTATATCATTCGAAAGCTATTGTTGTCCTGCGCTCAAATTTGAAAAGATATTTTACTTGTGATTATTTTTCGTAAAGTTACGGGGGTTTAAAGATTGGCATTTTGGCCAATTAGGGACAATTAACGCGCGATATAATTTGCGCTATTAACGCGTAAGCGGAGAGTTAATCCGTGATAAAAATCGTTCCAAATTGGTTGAAAATAGCTTATTTGCCATAATTGATTTGTTACAAGGAGCCAGATCTATCCTTTTGTACTTTATATAGCGTGTGGGGGATGATTTGCATAAAAAATTGCAAATTTTAGGATTTTTTTTTTCATTTTGTTTTATTTCATTTTATTTTTCCATGTTATTACTGCTCCATAAACCGTGAAAGGCAGTAGGAACATTCAGGGCTTCGCCCTGATACGAGCAGTCTTGGTTTGTTTTGCTGTCCCTTATAATTGTATGTTAAGTTCATTGTCTGGATCAGACCTGTCTCTTTGTCATTCACCGTTTGGGAAACTATACAAAAAAAAACAATCTAAGCACCAGTTTATTAGTCTAACCTGACAATCTGGCCACAAAATCCACAGCTTCACAACAACCTCAGAGCATTTTCGTGAACCTTAGCACTCATGCCATCGATTGTTCGAAAATAGAGCATAGCTTGTGACTCCGATTGTGAAACACCTCAATGAAAAATAAAGTGCTTTTAGCTTTTTTTTTTGAAAAAGTGGAACAAAAAATGATAACGGTATTTGCGATATGCCGCAACTCAAGTGTGCGTAAAAAGATGTCTGCGACTGATAACAAAAAAAAACAATTTTAGACGATTTAGGCGTTTCTAATAATTTCGAATGTAAGAAGGCTATAAAACACTCAGATTAGCTATAAAGTGGCACATTATTACCTGTTTATATCTCATCTCTCGATTCTTTTTCAGCAAATAAAAAAAATGTAGCTTTTTCCTATCGAAAAAGGAGAAATAATGGAAGGGAAAAGGGCAGCTATATATAATAGAGAAAAAAGGGCCATGTTCCAATTAGCCTTCTGTAATCATCGTCGTCATTATAAACACCTTCGGTCATACTGAAGAGAGTATTAACTAGAATATAGTGACTAGCTGTCTTATCTTTTTGTATGCATTGTGTTTGTAAAGGTAAGATGGTAACAACATACAAGCATAGATATACAAATGAACCCTTAGGGAAAAGAAATGCATTTGAAAGCGTGATGGTAACTCTACTAACTAGATAGCGAGACGACTTCGCGTATAAATTACCAGCTATCTAGCTGCTATTATGCAATGCACTGAAAATGGTACGCGCAATGGTAGACTAAAAGAGCGAACAGCAACAAAGACGAAAGTTTAATTTAAATACGAAAAAGTCTAGTTTCGATTTTTAATGGCCCAAGTTCAAAAATGTACACGCCCTACTTCTGATTCTGGTAAAATAAGTTTAAATCTGGAAATAATAACTTTGTTTTGTGGGCATTTACAGTTTTGCGTCGTACCGGTATGCTTGGTGGCTTGCGGGAGGGAAGGTAAACGGCGGAGGAAATGGAGAAGGAAGGAAGAAGATTGGCGTTCAGTGGGAGTGCGGCAGTCAGTACCAGTAGTGCCATACAATGGCCGCAGTGGCCATAACTTTAGTTGCATATAATGGAGTCACTACTATAAAGAGGAGTACATAAAATAAAAAGAAGTGAATTTAAGAAGCAGAGCTGTGCTATATAGATCAAAAAGCCGCCAACTTTTACTCCACACGAAGCACAACACGAAGAAATAAGCTATCTTTTACCCCCCCCCCCCCCCCCCCCCACTTTCCCCGTCTCTCTACATGGCAAAGAATATTCACCCCCATAAACGGCTATTAAACAGTCAAAGGTTGCGAACAATTACCTTGTAACGCCCATTTCACAATAAGTTTGACTCTCAAAAGTGATTGTTTCAAATTCAACAAAAATACTAACAAACTAAATTCATCTTAATTTCACTTTGTTTTTAAATTAAAAACAAAATTCTCAGTTTTTGAGCGGATCATAACAAGAATGCTGCAATTTTTATACGAAAAAATTACAATTTTTTGTCCAGTCATCGGTTGGTTTGTACCAAATCAGCTAGAGTCAGTTAGTAAACAGACGAGTGAACTGTACAATGGTTTGCCTGCTTTTAAGGCTGTCTGCTTGTTGACCTTCAGGAATACAAGCAGAGTATGCATTGGAAGAGGGAGATTATCCGAATAATCTAAAGAGCACAGTTGCCGCAAGGTGCCACACACATCAGTGGTTTGTTCACAAATTCACTTTTAATATAGTTGCCGCAATTCAACTCGCCGCGCAGTAGCTTCTTTTTATTGCACCAACGGAAGCAAAAAAAAATCTACAGGAAAAGAAGAGAATAAATGCACTTTTGTAATTGGTACAGTACGCGTATTGCATTATAATCGATTTTAGAACGGAAAAGAGTTTCAGAAATATCGGAACAAAAGCAGTGTGAATAAATGAAATGCATTATTTCTAATATTTTGATTAGATGCTACCTAACCGTAATGCAAATGATAGTGACTTACCGGGAGGTCTTAATGAGTCGAAAAAAGGTCTAAAAAGGTAGAATAAAGATGGTAGAATAAAATAATGACAATAAAAAGCGACTTTGCTCTGAAATGCGAGATCAAAGTGTTCTTTGAAGAGGCGTTGAAAAGAGTGTAATAGTCGCGAACTACCCAATTCGTACCCCTTCAAAGCTGAAAAAGGTCACATTTTGAATTTCAAAAAGAAAAGTATAATTCAGCTGAAGCAACACTTATAACTTGTGTAGTAATAAGATCCATAAATCTCAAATTGAATTGTAAGCAATTACCTTCTGCCTATCTGAATCTTTGCTTTTTACATCCTTCTCGGTTTCAAATGGACCGGGATGCATGTTCATGCTCCAACATTTTTGTACGACTGAGCCCCAAAATATTACAGCGAATGTAAAAAACAACTCAAAACCCATTTTTAGAAAAAAAAAGACGGGACTCTTTCCAATCGAAAGTGGGGACTTATTTAATAACAATTGCCCTCTTTCGTTTATTTTGCAAAAACGTTTTCCATTGCCGTTCGATTCAATTCCCCCACAGGCAAATTCTAAAAAATTGGTCAGCATTTAAGAAATGACCATTTTTAACCATTGTGAGCAATGTTCCCGGGTTGACCAAAACTTCTAATCATACAATTTCCGTTTATGAAAAACTTCTTGTCATACAATTCCATACAATGCCATACGTACAGAACATTGTATGAAATCTCTATGATAAACATTTTTCCATATATGAAAATTGTATGATAGGTGTTTTTCCATAAACCAAAAACTTTGATTTTTTCTTTCTTAATTTAGTTTCTGAAAAACTTTCGGTGGTGTTTGCAACCGAACACAAGTGACAAAGACCTTGGTTACTCAAAACACCAAAGGTTAGACGGTCTTGCATTTACAATGCATAGCAAACGACCTGAAAGTGGCTGTTTTTCACAATTAATATAACAGCCACGGTTGAAAAAAAAACAAAAAAATTTTTGGGCCAAAATTTCAAAATTACTTGAAAAAATTTTTGTGTCGCCATCAAAAAAATGCCAGTCATACAATTCCCATATATGGGAATTGTATGATAAGCATTTTTTTTTCAAACAACTAGAACCTCAGTTTTTTATCACCAGACTGTTTTATAAGAATCAAACATCCACAGAAATAAGTTTATACCAGTTCTCAACCATTTTTAGAAATTGTATGAAAATTGTATGACAAGCATTTTTCCACACACCTGATGTATGGAATTGTATGATAACCATTTTCGGTGTATGGAGGACAACCCGGGTTACTGAGGTTTGGGTTCCCTCAGCTCAGATGTCGATAATTTTGGTTCTTTTTTACCCATTTCCCAAAAACTTGGCTCATTTATACCTCCTCCTGTCAAAAATGGACTAAAGGGGTCAGCCAATTTTATCCAGAGAGAATAGTGATTAATTGTTTAAATTGAAGTGAGCGTTAAAACTGGGCAAGGTAAACCCCGTTCGCAAGCGAAAATTCGTACAAATTAAAAAACGTGACGATTTGCACCAGGCAACTATTCGCAGCAGGCGGCAATTAGTAGCAGCAAAACCTTTGATCACAATAAACGAATTTTAAATAAAATTAATGATTGAAATAAACAAAAGAAGGCTGAAATCAAAAAAGGAGAGAGAAAACATTCAGCGCTGCAAGAAAATTTTTGCCGTTGCAAAGCTATATCAGCTCAAGGAACGGTGATTGGCACTTTTCATATTTTGCAAAATTAACGGCAACATTTCGAACAGTAATTTCAAACAATTTATTCAAATCCATCATTACTTGTGGATCGCTAAGGAACTGGATAAAACTTTGAATCGTGAAGTGGGCAAATCTAATTCCCTCTTGGAATAAAAAAATAAAAAAATTTTGTCTAATTCTCTCTTGGCAAATCTAATTTTCTCTTGGCAGTAAAAATCACGGTGATGGTCTTTTAAAAACTTTAGGCCACTGCATTTAAAATGTATCCAGCCATATGTGGCACCAGACACTTGATTGGTGCTTGGTTACGGTGTATGCATTGGTTGCAAGGGGAACTGTTGTAGGGAAGAGGATTTGGATTAGTACCGGAGTAAAATGAGGACTAGCAGACGGAGCAGCCTGGCCGGCCTCAGACGCTCCATTGCCAAAAACCCGGAGAGTTCTGAGCTTCCCCCGAACTTGGCGAGCCAGGCTGTTGGATCTACCACTCGAAGGCGGCGTCGATTAGATCCTTGGAAAACTGTTCGCCAGACCTGCACTGCATTAATGGTTGTAGTGTCTGCTTTGAGTACGGAACGTGGGAATCGTTAGGCGGCCCTGTGTTAATGCAGAATCACTCTGACTGAAACGCAGAAAATCTTTCTGATTTTTGATTTTGACACAAAATGATTTTTGTTCAGACCCTTTGAAAAAAAAGATGAACTTTAAATTCGAGTGTGTTTTAGTTCTTTTTTTGTGCTTTCCTCGCAAAATAAGCTACCACAAATAATCATCGAAGAGAGTTGAGTGATATATATCATTTTGAAACTCTTAGAGTTGTGATTCGAACAATATTGAAAAATTTCAAAAAAATTTCCTGAGTCGAAAAAGACCGGTTTGCATTTTTTGGTTTTTCGTCTTAATTCGAGCTAATAAAGCGAGCAATCAGGCTTACAACAGCTCAATTATGCTCGGAGACTTCTGAGCTTCCCCCGAACTTGGCGAGTCAGGCTGTTGGATCTACCACTCGAAGGAGATATTCGAAGAAAATTTTTGCCTATATTAGTATGACTGTCAAATTTGCCTAAAATATAGTTTCCCATCAGGTTTTTTTAAATACACGACGCAAAAACAATTTCACTTATTTGAAAAAAAAACTTTTTTTTTGTAATTTTTCAAAGAGTATGGTCGGAAGATTTTGTACTTCGAATTTTAAAGTAGTAACGAGACAAAACTTACAAAGCAGAAACAAATTTGCAATGCTTGAGCACACAACATTTGAGCCGAATATAATTTGATTTGATGACAAAAGACTCAGAATAAGTCTTCTCTGCAACTATAATGAGCAACACTGTCAACTACAACGAAATTTGTTTGCAGCATCAAAAAACTATGAAATGACAGTTAAGCCGACAAAACGTGATCAGACAGAAGAAAACCCGACAATGCATTTTTAATGGGAATTTTTTTAAAGTTTCATAAAAACTGAGCAAAAACAAAGTCCACCGAGACTCGAACCCCTGACTTTAGACTGCTAGTAATGTGGAAACTATTAAGATTCAATAACAAAACAAGTTCAATTTCTTGCAGATTTTACAGAAAAGTTGTTCGTGGGAAAAATTCTATTTCCTGATTGCATGAAATTTGCTCTAGAAAGTGTATTACTTTATCGGAAAAATTTAAGTGGGCTATTCTCTTGCGCGAAAGAGTAAGCTGGTGAAAACTCTAAGCATATCATTGCCTTGCAAACTTTCCAAAACTGACTTTTTATTAACCTTCTTTTCATCGAATATATGAATACTCAACTCCTCATAAACCACAGCAAGGATTAAAAAATTTGTTGAAATAAAAAGAAACATGCTTTAAATGTTTCACTGACTGGCCATTGTTCGATTTTAACCATTTTGAGATTTGACTTTAGGGAGGGAGCATCAATACTCAATTTTGTTTCTCCTTAGCTTTTAAATATGAGCGCCCAAATGCCATATTCGAGCTCGGTTTCCGACAAATAGGAGGCGACAATCGTTCTTGATGAGACTTTGAGAGGAAAAACTTCTCGGGTTGACAAAAAATGCTTGTCATACAATTTCTTACTGGTGGAGCAAGCATTTCATAAATCTAGGAACTTGTCTGATAACTCTAATGACTACAGCATTTTCGTCACACTTTG